ACATTGTTTTATATCCAGGTTCAACAGCCAACCTTAACCTAAGGACATCTAGAGGATATGTAACCTACAAAGACAAAATATCAGAAGATATAAAAACTTGATGTAAGTAAATAAACTAGGTTTTTGTTCATGTTTGTTCTAAGAGAGAAATGGAGTGATCCTGAATAACATTGTAGACGTCAAATTCTTGCTTTGTGCTCTCAAGAAGCTCCCATGGGCCTCTAGTGCCACTTAAGTAATTTGTACTAATTGAAAAACTCACACCAAGAATCTAACAAGACCTAGTTTTTAGTCTCTTTATCTCTTTTGTAACTTACAAAAGTTGAAGTCATGCCAGCACAAGCACCTGCTGCAAATCTTCCAATTACAGAAAGATCCCCGTCCTTTAGTTGAAAAAGTTTCTGGAAAATGAAACAGCAATTTGTCATATAAATGCAAATTTCATATGATGCTATACTTCTTTTAGAAGATAGTTTCACCATCCCCTTGTATGTTTCATAGGCAAACTGGGCGGCGCTATAAGGTATGATCTGTATCACCTAGAGTATTAAAGAGGAAAAGAAGAACAACAAGTTACCAACAGTTTCAGCTCAATGAAATATTTAACCACATCTAGAATCATTGAATGGCTGCAGAAAAAAGCTCTTACTTGACAAGGTGTGTTTGATTGTAAGCATGAAATTTACATGGAAAGAAAATAAATTCTAGATAATTAAATTGTCTAGTACTTATTTGCATGAAAATTGTCAATTAAATGTGTTTGATTTATTTATTTTTCAACCTAGTATGTATTATATTTGTCTATTTTTTATTAGTGGGTAGATGAGAAAAGGAGGAGGTAGATGAGAGAGAAAGAGGGAGAATTACATGGAAAATAAAAACTTACTCTCCCTAAAGAAAACATGAAAATATAGACATGTGACCAAAAGTGAGAAAATGTTTTCCATGGAAAAAAATATCAATCAAACAGAAGAAAAGTAGGAATTTGGTTGGAAAAGTGATATTTTCCATAAAAAATATTGACTGTCAAACACACCTTAAGAGAAAAAAGGAACAGCATACCTAGGGAAGATTCCTTCCCAGTATCCCTTAATTCCTTCCTCCTTCCCAATTAATGTGAAGGCTTAAACAAATTCAAAAGGTTAAGGATATGGTATCATTGTACAATATATGGTGAAAAATATAGAAGCAGCATTTTGTGAACTGTGAATTGAGTTGAAGTACAACAGTGCAAGGACGGCAGATGATGTACAGAAAGAGAAGCTAATAAAAGACTTTAAACATGACCCAAATGGAATGCAACTGACTTAATAAGAAATCACCTATCAGTAACCATGAAGTCAAAAAATATGTCCAAGAAGAAAAAGAAGTTGCATGAAGAGAGATAATAGAGAATGGCTGAATACTCGGAAAATGAAATAAAGCTCATGATTCCCATATAAAAAGGGAAATGAAACTGCATCAGCGCCTTTGGCAGTGATGTTACGAACTACGAAAAAGACTATTCAGAAAATGACGAACTAACTTAACAGGTCACTCATATTACGACCAGGAAAAGGAACATGACAGATACAAGCGGTTAGGTTTGAGCATATGCAGCACACACATACAAACATTGTGTTTTCTTAAGGAGTTACATGATGAGTCAAGCCATTGCAGATCAGCACCAGTCGACTCCAGACTTATAGATCTTCTCCAGCTCAGTGAGTGAGTGAGTTTAGTTTCGTGAGTAAAGGATACTAGAAATGATTTCAGTAAAATACAGTGATAACTAGTCTATATATTGAAACCATAAGCTTGGAGAATTTTAGTCTCAAGATCGCGTACAGCCCACAATCACTTTTCATCTTGTTTTCTCTGCTATGCACGAAAGCTTTAGCTTCAGAGGTTCCTCAAATCGGGTAGCTTGCATCCTCTTTCTTGCAACTTTCCTTCGTATTATTCACCCAAGCACTGGTTTTCTGTTTCTCTACTTATCTAGAAATGGAAACACAATGGTAAATTTTGTAAGTATCTTGTATACATTAGTATTTTAAAGATAATATCAATTTTATCACACTTCAGCTTATTGCATGGCAGAGTCAACCCTCATTGGCTAAGTGTAAATTGTCACCCTTAAAGAAGAATAGAACATAAAAAGTTACATTTTAATTTTTAAAAGTAAATAACTTAGCTATGTAGTCTCTAAAGGAGAGCATGAATCTTTCTGAAATTCATCAAGAAATGACCTACGATGGTAAATCTAAAGGGGAAAATAGGACACTAGGACAGTAATGGCCTTTCCAGCCATTTGGAGATAAATAGTGTGTGATCATGGTGGATTAGAAGAATATCCTTAAATGTATTAGCAGTGACAGTCTGCACATCCTTTGGTTCTAGGTTCAATATGCAGTTACTTAGCAATGTCAATAAAAGTGCATGAAGAACATTTGCAAGCAAACAACTAAGACAATTGGCAAGAAAGACATCATGGAGACCTCAATAAATCCTATAGCCTTCTTTGTACCTTCTTTTCCAGCTCTAAGCCCATGAATCTGCAATGCAATGTAAAATGAAAGAAGAATAAGCAATACCTCTTATTTTAACAGGAGAAGCCAAATTCTTGCCTTATTTTGCCCCTTCTAAAAGAAACTATAGCCTCATGTAGTAGTCATATAAGGATGTACAACACAGACATGTGAATGTATGGAAATGAAGACTAGCACCAACCTGATTTCCAATCAAGAAAACAGTGTCCAAATGATTAAAAAAATACCCGAAGGCGATGACCAGAATGAATCATGTACAATGTGCATTGCCACTTTATAATGTCCAGTATTTTTTTTATTTTTTTTTTTAAATTAAACCGGAAAAACTGTAATTGCACTTCTTAATTACAAGACAAGATTATATGGAACAGAAAAAGTTAAAATCTTGTTTATTGTAATGGCAACCGTTATGTATTCCAAACTTTGAAACCAACCTTATTAGTAAAGACAAATGCGAGAGATTAACATCTTTACTACTCACAAAATTAGAAATAGAAGAAAAACACTCATGAATCAGACGAAAATTTCCTGCAATACAAATCAAGTGATAGATAAGAAGAACAAAGGAAGTAGTAACACTGTAACTATTATAAAATTAGGGTGAAATTATCCCAGTAACCGCAAAATTGCTGAATTACTAAAATAAACTGAAAAAATACCTTCATAAGGAGCTTGATACGGTCGAGTGACGTGGTGACGGTTTTGACGGCGGCCCCGGCAATTGCGCCGGCTGCAAAAAGAGCTGTATCTTTAGGAACCAAAGCCAGAGGATTCTTAACGAGCTGAGCCAACGTAGGCCAAAACTCCTTTTCTTCTCTTTTCTGCAACCGAAATACACGCAAAATAACACCGACTGCCACTGCGGCTGGAATTTGAATTTTTAGGGAACTATTTCTTCCGCATTGATCTGGCCCAGTTAAATTGGTCGGGTCAAGATCCCGAATTTCCGGCCAAACTAATGTGGCCAGGATATTATCCATTTTCAGAAAACGGTTCGGGCAGGGGTTTGACTTTGAGCAGAGAAAAGGCTCAGTTTTGCCTCCATTGAGATAAGGCGAAGAATTGGTTGCAGGCGTGGGAAAGTGGGAGGGAATGGAATACAGTACATAGTTTTGGGACATATACGAATCACGTTTAACAAATTTGCCAAATTATTTCAAAATTTTAATTCCAATTAACAATATATATATAGGCCGCGTTTGAACCACATTAATATAAGAATAAGAATGAAAAATATAATCGTTACGAACTTCACACAAAAGATAGAAAATCATAGTTACGGGCTTCACACAAAAGATAGAAAGTCAAATATGATGACTAGATATGATAAATAACAATCATATTTTTCATTCAGAAATGCCCAAAGTACAAAAATTTACTCACAGATGTTTTACAAGGCCCTCATTGTGCAGGGGCCCCACAAATATTAAAAATAAATAAAAATACGTGGGCTCCACGTACGTGTGAGGCCTGTAAGGCTCTCCTCTGTATGTGAAGCACGGCTGTTTTTCATTTTAATAGACAAATAATGAGAAATAAATAGGGACATAATATATAATTAATTAAAATTAATTCTCCCGACCCCACTTGTAAAAAAATTTCGAAACTTGAAAATAGGAAATCCCACCCCGCCCCAACATCTCAAAAAATTTTCAAAAAATTAAAAATTGGAAATCACACCCCATCTCATGAAATCATCACACCTTAGCCCACCTCCATTCCCACCACGCCACGTCCATCCAAAAAAATTTCAAGTCATGACATATGTTTTATGTTATTATTTGTGATCAAATTTACATTCAATGTGACTAATAAATTACTGAAAGTTATGTAAGAGTAATATGGGGGAAAGTTAATTAAAAGTAATGTGGTCCCTATGATCAGCATTAATGAGCTCTTCAAGTAGCAGGGGGTCTAATATAAAACTGCCCAACTTATTACATGCGTACTTGTGCATTCAAGTCTAGAGGTGCAGAATGGATCTAATCCAGTCAGGTTTGGCTTATCTTTAATGTGGGCCGTTATGTTGCCTTGGTGTTGAGGTATCTGGTAACAGGGGTGGATCAAAAGTACAATATTTTCTCTTTATTTTATCATTTAGCAATCTTAGTCTCTTAAAACTCTGGCACTCTTATAACCCTTTTCCTAAATATGTTATTACACACTTGCAATATGCACTAAATGGACGACTTAATATTCACATTCTCAACTGGGAAGGCCTCGAAGTAGTCTAACAATTCATTCTATCCACTTAGGGCATGGGTTCAATATTTTCTAAAGCCTACCAATGCATAAATTGTAGTTCGTTTCACCTTTATGTCCTATCTTCAACTCTTTGGTGGGATGTTGTTCCCATACTTGGATTATCTGATAACTATTTAGTACTTATAAAAAGAGGGGAAGTATCCTATTTTTGGAGCAAATGTAGGGGTTTTAATGGGGCTAGTTGAGCCATGAGCTTGTCCCTCTGTGGGACGAGCCAAGCCGCTTGCGGCTTACCAATAATTTTTTTACTGAAATTGTATTTTCAACTCGTTATGATGAGTCACGAGCCAACTCTTGCAAGCCACTCGGCTCATTACCTGAGACTCTTCCCAACTTAAAACTCCTAAACATATGACTTAAGGGTTGATAAGTTAAGATAATAGTAAAAAGGGTATATGAACATGTATTGATGTGCCACAACAGCTAATGCTCCTAGTCCATGGAGCTACATTTCTACTTAGTCTGAGAAGACTTTTCACCTAAGCCGATTATCACCTTTTGGGCCAACTATTTATGCAAAGCTTTTTATGATGAAACTTCAAGTCTTAATATGATAATAGAGTTCATTAAATTTAAAAGAGCAATTCAATCCATTTAAAACTCAAAAGAGCAATTAGATTTTAAGTTTTTTGTGCTCAAAAGAGTATTTTCATTCCTTCCATGTACGTTCGTCTTTTTTATGATATATATGGTTGGGGAATCCTAACCCTGATTGACTTTCCTTGGTTGAGCCTAAAAATTCATTAAGGATGTATAGATGCCCTTTTTTCAAAATAATAATAATAAAAGAATCATATCTTGTCACTTCTTTTAGCAAAGTTAACCTTTTAACATGAAATTTTTGTTGGGAAAAATGGGTAATTTGTATGTAAATTATTGATTAACACAACAAGTATAAACAACATAATTCAACAATGAACCTATAACTCAATATAACATAAACATGAGAAGAGACTTAGAAAACAAACTTTAGGGGACTACATCAAGGACGTTGTCCTAAAGCCTTGTTGCATCTCTTTTGTGCAGATACTTTCGACACTACACGACTTCAAGATAAAACTCATATGACTCATAATCGATTCTCTTTATATGGGCGCGATCATAGGAAAATAAAGAATGAGTCTTTATCAAATTGCTAAAAATTACATAAATATAATATGAAATGTATAGAGTTTTCTCTCTAGTGGTTTTTAAGATATATCCAACAAAGAATATAATCACCTTTTATAGGTAAAAAATCAATTTTCACGTTCAAACCCTTAAAATATAAGTTATAATATGTATTATGATATTTTAATTTTATGTTAAAACAAAAAATTAAAAGGTTTTAATTTGTGGAAGACTAAAACTTAATTTTACAATAATCCCCCACAAGTTTTAAACTTTCAAAATAGATATATAAAGTGACAATATTGTACTGTGCAATAAGTGTAGGTGTCTTTCGACTTAAACCTTGCTTAGTGATTACAGCTTCCATTTAACGGATAATGGATTAAGCCTTGAATTAGATTTTTTTGGCCAAACTTCAATTGTTCCACTAATAGTAACGATGTAATAAAAGTTTCTAAAGAATAGCCCAATCCTATAGCCGCAGCCTCGTGACAACTCTTACATAGATGAGTCCTCCAAAAACATATGCGATCCACAACTCGAGAGAATTCTCGCCTCGATACTCGTTCTGGATTAAACCTTTCCTCACGTCACATCAAGCACATATAAAATATTGCTATTACGAGTCATACAATACAGTTTGTTTCGACCACATTGAACCTTCTCCATGGGATCTTCCAATTACAAAATTTGAAAGCTTTGGTTTCTAGCGAGCGACCTCATACTGCTCAAAATATAAGTTACAATATGTATTATGATATTTTAATTTCATGTTAAAACAGAAAATTTAAAGGCTTTAATTTGTGAAAGGTTAGCTTAATTTTATGTTACAACAATTTCAAGTATTATTATATTATCAAAGCAGGTCAATCCAAAATTGGGTAAATTTTGAAAGCTTTTGTTTCTGGCAAGCGAGCGACCTCGTGCCGCTCGTCCAGCCAGGTTTTTTTTCCCTTCTTTTTCAATTTGTTTTCTTTAAATGTGCTTGTTCGACGATTTTTTTGTGAGGCTCCAACTTCTGACGTATTACAATCTTTTGAAACTTGTGAACAAGCTGCAAATCGACAATGCGAGATCATCTGCATGTGGCACAAAATGCCGCTTTGTTCGTCACCAAGTCAATACAGCAATAGAGGCCTTCACTCCATCACTGCCAAAACCATTGGGTTATGCCAACATTGCTCATCAGATTCGGTCGACGAAATCTAGTTTTTTTGAATCTCCAAGTCAAGAAAGTTAACACCTTTGTTCATCGCGCTGTGAAGACTATATTTGAACACAATTCAAGGGATTCATAGCTCTGTCAATTCCAGTTTTCTGGCACTTGCTCTTTGCGGGATATGTTGAATATTGTTTCGGTTCATTGGAACAATGAGATGGATGTGGAATTCATCCCTCATTTAATCAAGAAGGGTCTCAGGTAATGAACTACTTAATTTTAGCAATGAAAATGAAATAAAGATCAAAGAGCTGGATGGTATTTCGACAACGAAAATTGTGTTAAAGTTGGATTCCTCACATTTAAGCCATTGCAATTGTTGACGCTCAACCAAATGAGCTTGTTGTCGTTTGACCAAGCAGTGAGCTAATGGAACTTGAGCCATGCTTTGACATGTTTTCTTCAAAACGAGAAAAAAAATGCAGCTACCATAGAGCTATCATCAAGTGAAGAAAAAGCACTGATGTTCGAGACAAACTACCGCTATGTACTGCCACCACCAGCCAGATTTTGTGACAAGTTTAGTGTTTGTCTTCCTTGCCTCTCAACTTGAAGGGGACATGTTAAAGAAACATAATTCAATTGGTTTCCCAAAAGATGAAGATGGAGTTGGCTGATTTATTGGAACAAAATTTTTGACTGATGGAAAGCCTCTCTCTTTTAACCTTCCTAACCGAAACTCGTCAAAAAAATCACAATAGAGAATTTTGTTCTTTAATTTCTGGGCAAGTAGCGTCAATGACATCAGTCGGGATAAGGAAGTCTAGTCCTATGAAATTAGGTCGAGTCTAGTAATTCCCGTCGTCGTCGGCATGAACCATAGAATTCTACTCTAGATATATGAAAACAACTTGTTAAAGATTACTCCACTCAAGTCTATTTCCTTTTCTTACGATAATCTTGAGGGAAGAATGCCATAGCAGCATATAAGTGAGACAAGCTCATGCATCTACATTTAGGAGATCCTGCAATTTTAGCTTTAACATCCCCACTCATGGTATATATATAGAAGAGTTTTCACATTGATGAGAATCTCAATAAAATAAACTATAATGCGGAATTATCGGTACTTTTCATAATCGAGCCAGTTCACTAATTGATTGATCAGTAAAATGCTCAGAACAGTGAAACAAACATTATTTTTTTTGCTGAAAACTTCAGGTATTCACTCCTAATTGAATAATATGTAAACAGACAGAGATCTCCATGTTTGCCCAATGAAAAAATAACAAATGCATGCAAATCTTTCATGGAACCAAATCTTTCAAGATTTTTTCATTTGATGATAGATGATACGAAATTTTTGTTTCACTGTCAGCATGATCTGCAAATAGATTCAAGAAAAGACATGATTAGTTGGGTCTACAAATTTTAGTTCTGGATTACATAGTAAATTTTAGGGTTTATACTTGCCATTTGGAGTTCCGAAAATGAAAAGGCCAGCCCCAATAACTAGGTAACACAGCAGCAGAACTACTCCTTTTAGGTAATGAGATGTTCCGTCCTGCAAGATTCGTGCATGTCTTAATTTCATTAGCGTATTTAAGAAATGCACATTGAAGATATAAATGAATAATTTCACGTTGTAATTCATCTCTAAAAGCTAAAATTTTGGAAAAAATTTCTTGATAACCAACAAATGTCGATTTGTAAAATCCAGTTTTTTAATTCATCGTATAAAGATTAATTACCTGTAAAGCGAATGTTGTGACGATTATTGATAGAGCAAGACAACTGGTTTCAAAGAGATTGAAGTCGAGATTCATGTTGATACCAATTATCCACGCCACAATTATGCTTAATGGAATCTAATTATTTTAGAAATAATTAGGCAAGCGACTATTTTTCAATCAGCAGCAAGCAAACAAGTCTACCTCAAGAATGTAATTTACGATTAAAGTTCTTACCACAAACGTGGCAATTTGAGTAGCGGAACCAAGTGCTACGCCCAAAGAAATATCCTGTCCGAAAAATAGTGAGCAGATATAGCAAAGAAATTAAGAGGTGAAAAAAGAAAGAATGACAACGCTTTTCTTTTCTTTTCTTTTTGCAAAGTTTCGTTTCTTTTCGAGTATTTCACTTTCACAATTATCTTCGAATTATTAAATATCAGCTAGAATTGCCTTCAAAATTGTTCATTGAAAATAATAAAGTATATCCTCCATGACATACCAGCTTGTTCTTAAAGGCAAATATGACAGCCCCAGCATGTTCTGCTGCATTTCCAACAATTGGTAGCAAAATTACACTGATGAAACCTACAGATAATCCCCAAGAGTCTGATGCAGCCTGTTGTGGCATACGCCCGAAAAATATGAAATTATTCGATCCCAATACAAAATTTCAAAATCTTATCAATCAGTCCGACTTTAATAATTTATGTTGAAAGTTCACCTCAATTGTGCCCACAACATATTCCGACAGTAGGGCCATGACACCGGTCATTAGAACTAGCCAAACAAATGCACTCCAGAATCCAATCACGGCTGATTCGTCAGATACCACCCTACTGTCTTCTTCTTCATCCTGATAATTACCACCACCACAAGTTTGTTTAATAATACTGCAAACCATCTTTTTTTCCTTCTTAATAATGCTGAGTTCCATATGTCGATCCGACCAAACGAACATTTTACAGGGCCAAAAGCAGCAATGCAAGACTAATAGCATAACTTTTTTAAAGGGAAATGACTCACCACGGAAGCTTCAAATAGTTCCCGATGAGAGCATAGCTGGAAAAATAGGTAAGAAATGTATGCAATCAGCATCACAATAGAACTACCTCTTGACAGCGCAAGATTTTCAGTCCCTATCAACTTGGATTCATTTCCAGCATATAGAATCATCAAGGGCAAAACATGGCAAAGCAATCCCAACAACAAAAGGAGGGCATTCACATCCACTTGTTTCTGTTATATTTCAACACCAAGCTAAATATATCAGATAATTATTCAAGAATTCCATTTTTTAGGCTAGAAATTTGCGCAATTTCCATTTTCTGTTATATTTCAACACCGCGCTAAATATATCAGATAATTATTCAAGAATTCCATTTTTTAGGCTAGAAATTTGCGCAATTAATGGAAGTAGAATATCTTACTCTATCAAACTTTTGTTCATTTCTGAGATTTGCAATTCCACCACAGAAAAGAGAGGTTCCAAGAACCAAAAGAAGGTTTGAAAGTATGGAACCAAGTAGACTGTATTTAACTACATCTACTTCTTGACGGATCAGAGCAAATATGGATATGATCAGCTCTGTAGCATTTCCACAAGTAGCATTTAGAAGCCCTCCAACTGCAAAGATATACACAGCAAGAAAAGGATTTGGAAACCGTATGAAGTAATCCAACCATGAATTAAGCTTTATTCTTGAGAATCTAGATTAAGCAAAACGAATCAAAATTTTCATTGCTGCATTCGATTCATAGTTACTGTACTAGATTAAGTAATTGCCAACCCAGAAAAGACCAATCAATGCTACATCAACACAATAGTATTGGATTATACTATTCATTATTTGTTTTGGTCTAATTTTAATTTTTTAACTCAATCAAGATTCTTCCTTTATTCTCTATCACGCGCAATTATAAAATATGGTGAGGATTTTTCTAGCTATGCCACCCCACTAATGATCTAGGAATTCAAGTGGGCTAGGATGCGACCGCCCAGTATATGATAACAAAAAATATTTCTGGTGGAGCTTGCACGGGCGGCCACCATGACTCACCGAGTGCCGGCTCTGTCCCTCACGTTTTATTGTCTCTATCAACATTTTGGTACAGATTTTGAACTGATTTCATCTTCTTCTTTTTTCCCCTAAAAAATTATAAAGATTTGAATGTCATAACATAAAAAAATAATGTATGAAACATGGATTACCTGTTGGACCTGTGTAGAAAGCTATTTGCCTGCATAAATTATTGTTAGACCAAAAATGGAAAATGGAAAAAATTATTATAAAATGTTAGATCCTGGTAGTATTATTTATTGAAGAAGAAGGAAAAAATTATTATAAAATTCTAACTTGGTCAAAAAGCTGACACGTTCAGCAAGCGGTGTGAGTCCAAGCAAACTCAACGCAAACACCCATGGCTGTTCAAAAATAAAACGAAAGAAAATAATGAACAATTGCAAAATAATAATAAATGCAACAAGGCTAGCAGTTTACAGTTTTTTCATGAAGTATATATAAATGAAATTCCCAATCAAATTATTCAGTTAGGGTTAGACGAGGAAAAGTTAACCGAAGAAAGAGTGTACTCACTCTTCCAAATTTTGTACACTCAGCCGCGACAGCAAAAGGAATTGCCAGAAACAAAATCGATAGCTTTGATCCCAACAAAACCTCTTGCAGATTGACCAAAAACTTTCGGAGAAACACTTTTCGAACTTTGGAAACAAGGGTTAGGTCCGATTTCCTGCGCAGAGAAGAAGAAGACCTGTTATGTGCCGTCCGGCTGTGGCCATGGCCTTGCTTCATTTCCATAGTCAGGCATCTGAGATTGCCATTTTCCAGTAGCCATGGTTCTGTAGAAGCCATTTCTCTCTCTCACTCTCTCTCTCTTTTCACCGCCCATTAATGCCTCACCAAGATGTATAAGCATGCATTTATGGTGTGACTTGGCTTGATTAACGTGTAAGGTAATCCGTGATACACAGGTAGGCATCTTGTTTGGCCGCTATTCTACAGTACAGAGGTGCCTATCTTTGGGGTACTTTTTAAAATAGCTTGGTCAAACAACCAAATTTTCGTTTTGACCATTTTTTTTTTGTATTCACCACATTGGTCTATTGCCATTAAAAAGACAATTCTACCCTTATTCATGTTTAATAATTACAAAAGTATATCAATTGTTTAAAAGACAATAATACCTTTAATAGTTTAAATAAATTCTGTTACTTCCCTACATAAATTTCAAAATCAGTTTTGGTTTATCAGTTTCTCCAATACAGTAAAAAAGAATTTTTTCCTTCCATCTGCTAAAATATTGAAATCTCCCAAAATTATCAAAGGTTCAAGAAAGAAACAATACTCACAGTCGGCACTGGAAATTGGTAAGTGTAAATACGTATTTTGAATTTTGTTTTAGTTAAGTTTACTATTTGAATCTGTAAATAATTATTTAGAGAAAGGCAGATGAATTTTACAGTATTTAAACACAGATTTATAATTTTTTTATAGCAAAAACAACAAAAGAAATTCATCTCTGTATGCATATATTTTACAGGAAAAATTTATAGGTGTCTGTAAAATAAATATTTAAACATTATTTCGTTGAAAAAGGGAAAAAATAAAAAATTAGAGTTTAAATTTCAGATGAAACGGACGAAAAAAGCTGGGCCAAATGTTTCCAGCCGGCCCAGTTGTCGGGGCCGGATGGAAACAGTCGGCCCAGTTATCTGGGGGCTGGAAACAGCCGGCCCAGATAATTGGGTCTGGGCCGGCTGGAAGCAGCCGGCTGTTTCCAGCCGGCCCAGCCCTTTTTTTTTTTTTGCAGATTTTAGAATTTATTTGTTCAATAATATATGTTTATTGAAATAAATATTAATGAATATTTAAATATTAATTGAAATAAATATTTTTGAAACATTTAAAATAATCAATGAATTATTTAAAGTATTAAATTAAATTAAATATGAAATGAACAATTTAAAAAATTATATATTAATTCCTTATTTTTAATTTGTGGCAGATATGGCATCAGCATGTGTCCCAATTTGTTACTTTGGTGAATTTCAAAGGAATGAAAATACTCAGTGGGAATGGAAATGGACGAGTGAAGGAGATGGGGTTAAAGCAATTTTTATAACAAGGAGTACATCGTTCGCAGAAATGTACAGTGATATACAAAACATGCTTAACGTCGATCCCTCTCAGTACGATATGGAATTGGGATTTTTGTTTCATAAGCATTCAACCATTTCAATTCCACCTATGAAAGTTACTTCTGAAGTGGAAATGAAACATCTAATTAAATTGAATCAAGGCCGGAAGTCGACTCCTATTTGCGTAACTTTATTGGGGAAGAATGTCCACGAGGGGGAACACGAAGTTTCAAATGAAGAGAATCGTAATGTAAATGATGTTTGGGATACAATTCAGATTGTTCGTGAAGATGATGTGGTTATTCCCGAGACCACTGCTACTCACCATGGTCACACTGTTACGCACAGAATTCCATCGATAGTTGAAGACAACGAGAATGAAAATGCATTTACAAACGAGGATTTGATTGCTTTATCTCGTAGGAGACATGAGTCGGGTGGGAGCTCGCAGGCCGGACCGAGTACACGGTCCTCTAATTGTTCGCGTGTAGTTCCCGATGATGAAGATGTATATGTCGAGCAACTATTCGAATCAAAGAAAGAATTGCAAGAAGCTGTGCACCGGATTGCTTTAAAACATAACTTCGAGTTTAAAGTGAAGAAATCAAACAAGTCGTTATACACAATTATCTGCGTTGA